TCAAGCTGGAGTGCAGTGGCATGATCACAGCTTACCACAGCCTCGACCTCCTGAGCTTGGGAAATTCTTCCACCTTAGCCTTCCAAGTAACTTGGACTACAAGTGTATGCCACCATGCTCGGCTAATTTATTTTTTATTTTTGGGAGAGATGAGGTCTCGCTATGTTGCCCAGGATGGTCTCAAACTTTTGAGCTCAAGCAATCCTCCTGCTTTGACCTCCCAAAGAGCTGGTATTACAGGTGTGAACCACTGTCCTTGGTCCTGGTCTTCACTTACCTTTATAGCCTCATGGTCACTTCATCCTCAAGCTTCAGCTAGAGCAGGCTGTCCTGAGCCTATAACCCCTTCTGTGTCCTGGCAGCTCTACCTTCCCTGGCTGCCCAAATTCTCCAAGGTGGTTCAGAGAGTGGACTATTTCCCAGACATCTGTTCATCAAACTAGACTTCTCTTGTGTATTCCTGAAGAATGTCAATGGTCTTTCTGTTTAGAAATGAATTTGTACTTAAAAAGAAGTTGTTTGTGTGGTTTTCCACCTCCCTAGAAAGACTCTGTGTGGTGGGTGGATAGTTTGTAGAAGAGCAGAGTTTGAGATTCGATTTGGATGTGACTCTTGGCTTTGCCACCTACCCTCTCTGTGACCTTCCTCAAATGTTTTAACCTTATCCAGGCCACAGGGTCGTTGGTGGGAGAAGATAATGACCCCTGCTACAATGATTCATTTCTGTATTTGCATGCCCACCTCTTTTCTGCTAGACTTTGAGCTCTGCAGGGTAGAGACTGGTTTTGTTCAATTCCAGAAGCTCATTTATTCCCATGGAATGTGTCCTGTTCATAAATGCCAGGTAGAAAGGGAACCGGAGATTGATTAGCCCATGGTGGCATCGTGGCATTTGGCTGAACTGCTTCTGCCAGTGGGTCCCACAGTCTGACATATCCCTGAACACTTTTGCAAGAATCTCTTTGTGGACCCATGTCTCTGTGGGTACAGAGGACGTCTCAAGATAGAGCACTGAGTTAGAACTCTCTCTAACCTGCCTTTGGCCACTCTCTCTCATTGTTCTTAAAGACCCTGTCCAGTCGGAGGGTAGACCTCTGGCCCCTTCAGACACCACCCCAACACCAACTTTCTCAGCCCAGAGCCTCCCCTCAGTCTTGGGATTGAGACGAGTTGCCTCAGCTCTTCCTCTACGATGTGTTCCCCTGTGGTTCTCTTTCCTGCCAGGAAACCCTCTGTGACCACCTCAGTTTACCAGAGAGTTTCCAATAATATCAGCTCTCCAAAAGGAAGATCTGGAAATTTCTGGTCCCTCTTGATGAATGTGCTTCTCTCCCCTGCCTTGTCTACAGAGGAGGGATACTTGGGGGGACACCTCTTGCAATGTCACAAACCAGTCCTGTTACATTCTTCCTCCAGGGATACATGCACATTACAAAGAGGGCCACAAAAGTGAGCATCTTCAAGATACAAAATAAAATTTTACTCAGAAAGCAGAGTGTCTCACCTTCAGAACTATTTTAAAAAGAGTGCAGCCTGTAATCCTAGCACTTTGGGAGGTTGAAGTGAGTGGATTGCCTGAGCCCATGGGTTCGAGACCAGCCCGGGGAACTTGGTGAGCCCTCGTCTTTACAATACATAAAAAAAAATTAGCCAAGCATAGTAACATATGCCTATAGTTCTGGATATTTTGGAAGGCAGAGGTAGAAGGATTGCCGGAGCCCAGTAGGTCGACGCTGGGGTGGCCGTGAGCATGCCACTGCACTCCAGCCTGGGTGATGGAGTGTGACTCCGACTCAAAAAAAAAAAAAAAAAAAAGAGTGAAATGTAAATCTGAACAGAGAGAAACTCAAAAGCCATCTTTGAGCTTTCTCATAAATAATAATGTTTCATTTTATCTGATTTAAAAGATCAAGGCTAAGGACAGCTATTGAATTAATTAACATAAGTTACCTCCTTTTTCCTCATAACTATTTTAGCTTGTTCATGCCAATTGATGTCCCAAATTCCCATCGTCAACCTGGGAGATCTATCATCTTCATACACTGTCTACATATATTTGGGGCACAAAGAATGCTTATTGAACTAAAGTAAAGGGAAGACATTAACTTTCTGGAGTGTGTACTCTGTGATAAGCACTTTTTGAAGATGTTTTAATTTGTTATTCCACTTAATCATTATGACCATTATTTTATGCATTCATTTATCCGTTAATTCATCATTCAATAATATTATGAATTTTAAAAACTGGCCATCTGTAAAACAAAGAGAATTTGCTTCAAGCTGGTTCTGAATCCATCTAGACCAGGAAGCAAGGCAACATTTTCAGAGTTAGTCTCTCTTTCTTCAAAATCTACAGCAGGACTTCTCAAACTTTAAAGTGTCTGAAAATTGCCTGGGGATCTTGTTAAAATAGAAATTCTGTTTCAGTAGGTCTGGGGAGGGGCCTGAGACCCTGCAGGTAAGCTCTGAGGTGATACCTTTGCTGCCTGTCCTTGGACCAAACTTTGGAAGCTCGGGTCCAGCTCTACAACCAGGTACCTGGCCAAACCTGTTTCCCAACACTTAGTATTAGTCACTTGCCAAATAGTGGGTGATGGGTAAATTGCCATTGGATGGCTTAAATAATTTACTCTACTTGTAATGTTGATTAAGCTCTTAGTCTCTGCCAGACACTGCAATTTACATTAATCTCCAGAAGAGCCTTGTGAGGGACGTACAATCATCACTCCCATTAGGCAGGTAAGAAAACCGAGTCTCAGAGAGGTCAGGTGACCATCCTGGTGATGAAACCAGAATGTGAGCTCACAGCCTGGCCCTAAACATCTGTCTTATCCAGACCCTCTATGCGAGGGGGTGCAGGTTACATTTCTGTATCCCTTGCCAACTTGTAGAGTAGCTTTGAGTATATTGCAGGTGCTTGAGAATTTCTCTTATTTCATTAATGAATTGCACTTATCTTTAAGTCAATGCTATAGTCCTTTAAAGTGGAAAGTGTTACCATTTTGTCCTAAAGAATAGATCGTCAAGTGACCAGGGGAAATAGATTCTTAGAACAGGGACTCTTAGCTAAACACTTGGAGGAGCACCATAGAATTGGGAAATCTTTGAAATTATATGCAGCATCTTGCTACATATAACTTAGGTGCATTTTCTGGGGGAGTGAGAGCACAGATTTCACCAGACTCTCAGAAGATTTGTGACTTCAGAAGAGCTAAGAACAACTGTTTTAGACAATTAAAACTATATCAAGAATAATCCTGTGGAACTAGAGGCCATTATCCTGAGTGAAGCAGCTCAGAAACAGAAAGCCTCATGTTCTCACTTATGAATGGGAGCTGAGCCATGGGTCTGCAAATGCATCCAGAATATTATAATGGACATTGGAGACTCAGAAGTGGGAAGGGAGAAGGAGGAATGAAATGTTACCTAACGGGTCCAATGCACACTATTTGGGTGATGGGTACACTTAAAGCCCAGACTTCTGTGTTTCATTTTTAAAATACCACTATGCTATTCATCCATGTAATAAAAAATCACTTGTACCCCTAAATCTATTGAAATATATATTAAAAAAGAAACTTATTCTGACCCAATCGGCTCTTTAGAATTGTCAGAGGAAGTTATTTTGCACAAGTGACCAAAATGGGGGGCAAAATTGCTAAAGATTTGTTGACTTGATTACAAACTGCTGAGTATTCCAGGTGTTTTGACTTCTTTCTTCTGGTCTCTATCAGATTCTATTCAGATCATTCTCATCTCATCTCTTGCTGTGTTCTGTTCATGATTAACTCTGAAGACTGGCTCGGTGTCTGCGCATACAAGACTATTAAAATGTGGAAGAGATACCCGCACTCCCATGTTTTCTGCAGGCTTATTCACAATAGTCGTGATAGGAAATTAAAGGAAGTGTCTCTCAATAAATGAGTGAATTTTTTAAAATGTGGAATAAATACACAATGGAGGTTGGGTGCGGTATCTGTAATCCCAGCCTTTTGGGAGGCTAAGGGGGGAGGATTGCTTGAGTCCAGGAGTTGGAAGCCAGTCTGGGCAGCAAAAGGAGACTTTGTCTCTAAAAAAAAAACAACAAAAACAAAATTAGTCGAGTGTGGTGATGCAGGCTTATAGTTTCAGCTACTCAGGATGCTGAAGCAGAAGCACCGCCTGAGCCCAGAAGGTCAAGGTTGCAGTGAGCCATGCTTGTGTCACTGCACTCCAGCCTGGGTGAGAGTGAGAACTTGACTAAAAAAATTGATAATAATAATCATAATAGAATATTATTCAGTCATAAAAAAGAAAAAACTTGTCATTTGCAACAACATAGAACTGGAGGACACATTATGTTAAGTAACTCAGGCACAGAGAGACAAATATCTCATGTTCTCAAGCATACATGGGAGCTAAAAAAAAAAAAGAACTCGGAGGAATAGTAGAATGACGGTTATCAGAGACTGGGAAACATGTGTGAAGAGGGTGTTTGCTAAAGACGGGTTGGTTAATGAGTAGGAATGCTGGGTGCAGTGGCTCTCACCTGTAAACCCAGCACTTTGGGAGGTGGAGGTGAGAGGATTGCCTGAGCCCAAGGGGTTCAAGACCAGCCTGGACAATATGGTAAGACCGCATCTCTACAATAAATAAATAAATAAAAAAAAGCTGGGTGTCGTGGCTCACGCCTGTAGTTCCAGCTACTTGAAAGGCTGAGGTGGAAGGATCATCTGAGGCCAGCAGGCCAAGGCCGCGGTGGCCGTGAGCAGTGTGCGCACTGCACTCTAGCCTGGGTGACAGAGCGAGACTCTGACTCAAAAAAAAAAAAGTAGAACCAAGGTTAGACAGAAGGAATGAGAACGAGTGTTTGGCAGCACAACAGAGTGACAATAGTTAACTACCATTTACTGTCGATTTCAAATACATGCTTGAGGACAGAGACCCCCCCCGCCCCTTACCCGGATTTGATCATGGCGCAGCGTATGCTTGTGTTCAAAGATCACACGCGTTTCATAAGTATGCACAACTACTACGTATCCATAACCATCAAAGCTGAAACCTTAAAGAGACGTGGGCGGAGCTGCTCGTCTTGGGGAGCGACCCTTTCTCTGGATTCTGATCTCGCGCCTAAAACGAGGGCGGCCTGCGGTGCGTCCCCCGCGCCGGCGGCGCCGGAAGGCGAAGCTGTGAGTCTCGGCGTTCGCCACCAGGCGGTGCTGTTGGCCTGCGGTGGGCGCCCCCGCGCCCGCCACGCGCTCCGTGACGCCGCACTCGCCCAAGGGGCGGCGGCTGGCCACGGCGGGACGGACGGGGCGCGACGCCACGCAGCAGGGATCACTCGTGCCGGGGATGGGGCAGAGGGCGCGCGGCGCCCGCGCCGCCCGGTCCCTGCGCTGCGTGGACGGTCCCCGCGGGACGGAGCGCCGTCTTGCCCGCGCCGTGAGAGCGGCACGGATTCCCGGTGAGGACCCGCAGGTGGCCGCCAGCGACTTCAGGGGGATGCGTCCTCCCCGCTCCCCGGGCCGCACGACGGGGCGGGGGAGACCTGGTCCCTCCGGCGCAAGCGCTTGTGCCCGGGCCCTCTTTGCGCTGGGCCGCCTGAGACGGGGGAAGCGGCCCGAGCCGCCCCGGAGCGGGGTGCGGGCCCTTTCGAGCGCGCGGGCCGCGGCGGGAGGCGGAAGGGGCGCCGCGCCGGGCTGGGCGGGGAAGGCGA